ATCTTATGGTCTACGTTCTTTTACTGTTGCTGCCCCTAAACTTTGGAATATGCTCCCGTCATCAATATAAGAGACACTACTAAATTGGCTTCATTCAATACACAACTTAAGACTTATTTATTCAAATTAGCTTTCAAATCATAGTTTTGTTTTACTCTTTCGTAGTCTTACCTTAATTTATCGTGAACATTTTCATCATTTATTTTCAAAGCGCTTAGAACAGACTTGTATAAGCGCTCTACAAGTTTTTATACATTATTATTATTATATGTATGCCTGATTTAGTGCATCTACCATATGCTATGTATCCTAGTGCATCGACTGTATCAACTTTACTTTGTCAACACCTCACCTTCACTTCACCAACACCTTCACTTTACCAACACCACACCTTCACTTCACCGACACCTCATCTTCACTTCACCAAGACCTCACCTTCACTTTTCCAATACCATATCTTCACTTCACCAACACCACACCTTCACTTTTTCAACACCTCACCTTCACTTTACCAACACCACACCTTCACTTTTCCAACACCTCACCTTCACTTTACCAACACCACACCTTCACTTTACCAACACATCCCCTTCACTTTACCAACACCACACCACACCTTCACTTTACCAACACCTCACCCCACCTTCGTCAACACCTCAGCTCCACTTTACCAACACCTCACCCCACCTTCGTCAACACCTCAGCTCCACTTTANCCTCACCCCACCTTCGTCAACACCTCAGCTCCACTTTACCAACACCTCACCCCACCTTCGTCAACACCTCAGCTCCACTTTACCAACACCTCACCACACCTTCATCAACACCTCACCTCCACTTTACCATTACCTCACCTTCACTTTACCAACACCTCGCCTTCACCATTCATCAACTTCACTTCACCAACACCTCACCAACACCTCACCTTCACTTCCCCAACACCTCACCTCACCACACCACACCTTCACTTCACCTTCACTTCCCCAACACCTCACCAACACCTCACCTTCACTTCCCCAACACCTCACCAACACTTCACCTTCACTTCCCCAACACCTCACCTCACCACACCACACCTTCACTTCACCTTCACTTCACCAACACCTCACCCTCACTTTAATGAAAGTAGAATTCCACACTCAATTTCAGACCTTTGAGAGGCTTTAGCTTTCAAAACAACACTTAAGTTACAAGTATCTTTTATTCATAGTATTTTTTGTAATTGCATATTTAAGAAAACAAAACTATGATGGTAACCTTTTTCTTTAAAAAAATCTTGTCCTCATCTTCTTTATTCAATGGTTGGTTGTTGGGTTTTGCCAACAATACACTTGAAAATTACAGACAGTAAGTAAACATACTTCCTAGCAGTAGGCAGGAGGGGATGACGTTCCAGGAAGATGAGGTAAGGGTTTGGTTTAGGAACGTTTAAAAAAAAAATCAAATTGTATTTTACATTCAAATTATATTTTGCAGTTGTATTCTGCAACCTCAGGACTGAGCACAGCTCACTCACAGATTTAATTGGAATTTAATTTGTAAGGTTTTGTGGAGGAAGACAAACTTACAGGAGAACCCAGAAGATATCTTGGAAGTCTATATAGGGAGGTATAACTATAACTTCATAATCAATATATTTGAACACTATATATTTTTTAGGCTGCATTCATAATGTATGGCAGAGGGGGGACAGGTGAAATTGAGGGGGGATCGGGAAAATTTTGGTAGGAAAAAGGGGGGGATAGGCAAGTTTTTATCAGAAAAATGGGGGGATGCACAATTTTTGGAAGAAGCTACATGTACTGAACAAGCCTTGCTTTGGGGGGTTTGTATTTTAGTGCATGACTTTAAGGGGGGTTTTAAGAATTATTCTGGACTTTTCACATTTTTACCTGCCCCCCTTCTGCTATACATTATGAATACAGCCTTATGGCTAACCTGCTGGCTAAGATTCCTAAGTCTTCTGAACTAAGAAGAGATAAGGGTAGCCTCTGAGGTAAGTAGAATAAGGTTAAGGTTAAGGTTAAGGTTTAGCAGCTGTTACAGCAACTACTGAAACTGGGGCCTTTTAGACAGCGAAAAACCAATCAAAATGTAGAAAAAAACAATACATTCTAATTTTGGGTAGTGGAGCCAATCAGAAAGTAGCAGAAAACTATAGCCTTTTGACATATCATTTAATTTGCAGGAGAAAATGGCGATGGCTATCTGCATTTTTTTACATATAACATCAGGGTCAAATTGCCACTCTTAGCAGTCCTGGTTTCTGATTGGCTCGACTACCCAAAATTTAATTGTTTTCATTCTACATTTTAATTGGTTCTCTT